CATCCGAAAATGCAGCAATTTCCCAGTACTGCATTGGAGCGTTAGAGGCAAAGCAGCCTGCAGCAACTTATGGAGAAAACTCATCACAACAATCTTAGGGCAGCAAGAGCTGTGAAATTAAACCTACATGCCCTTGTCAGCCATATCCTGATATTAGTCAAATATTGTAAGTTAAAATATATTCGATCGAACATGGGTGGGGGCGGAGCCTGTTTTGTCGCTCACCTGACAGCCACATATTTGGACAATAATAAAGATCAGGAACCCTGATTCTTTTTCTTCAGTCTAACCCTAATTGTAGTGTGCCTGTTGCTACCCAACTGAGATCTGCTAACTCAGTACATTCCAGGATCCAGACTGGGTATCTTCCAGACTGGTTCAGGTTAACCCCATTATCAAGCACGTCACTGAAGTGCAGGATCACCTTTACTCCAGGTGCCCTGAGGACCTGAGGCATGCACTCCACTTGTAACCATAGGCGTGTACCGGTAGCCTGGTCGTGCTAAACAAAATGACCAACCTCTGGTTGTCGCAACACCTCAATGTCACATGGACACTATGCACAGGAACCACTGTTGCCATCACGTTGTGAAGAAAGTGGCATCCAGCATCTTGGGATGTCCTCCGATGTGAAAGCGCTATACAAATGTTATTTTGTATTGTAATTTTGTATTATTTGTGGGACACTGCTGTCCGCAATCGGATGCCATGTTTCGCCCACAAAATATACAGTCAATTCACTTCATATTCTGTGAAGTGCTTTGAGACATCTTGAAGACATGATATGGTTCTATATCAAATGCAAGGATTATTATTATTGTATAGTGCTTTTTTGCATCGAATGTGCATGAGTGGGAAGTGATCTGACTGCAAAATGGAACTTTGAACTTGCGTAATCTAGGCCGGGGTGCACTGCATTGTTAGAGGTGTCATCCTTCAGAAGGCATTAAACTGAAGCCCTGTCTGCCTGTTTTGGTGAATGATCCCTTACAAAGTGGTCACTACACTTTACAGTAAATCCTGTGAAGGACATTGAGATGTCCACTTGGCATGAAAGGCTCAATACCAAATGCAAGGATTCTTGTTAGTAGTATTATTGCCCTGTATATCTTTAAAAAATACAAAATCTATATTTGAATTACAATACTAACTGGACCAGGGGCTTGGTATAAACAGTCCTTTTAGATAATTGACAGACAAAGATAAAGGTCTGATCCTTTCTGGTATTATAGGTAAGTTGGGTGCTTCTCTCTGGGAGAGCATACACATTCCACTTTAGGCAGTCAATGTGCAACTTTGATACATATTTGGGGCTCTCAATAGTTTGGTTTGGATACTCTACAGAATGGCAATGGGTTTCCATGTATGCCAGACACTTAGCTGACCAAAACAAAGATGGGAGTGAAGGCTTGTAGTTCGAAGACAGAGGAGAGAAGATGAGGTAAAGCCAGAAGTAATGGTTGAGATGCCAAACCTGGATTTTAAACAATTATAAGTAAGAGGAATGGAAGACTGTGGAAAGTGCAAAATATGTTTCAGTCTTTCGTTCTTGGTACATAATGATTTAGAGTAGGGAATTGTGTAGTGGCTCTTTACACCACATTAAAAATGTAAGGAGAAAAAGAGCATTCAGGTAGGATATTCGGAAATTGAGTGGTAAAGCAGGGAAACTTCAAGGTAATGAACATAGCAGAATTGATCAACTGGAGTTAGAGAAAAAAGAATGTGATGGAAAGAAAGTTAGAAGATATTGCGGACAAAAATAGGATTTCTCAGATCATGAGCTTTTTTCAAAGAATGCAAGAGAGAAAATAAAAACAGAAAGTACTTATGCAGTATTGATGTATTTAAAAACTGAGTTTATTACATGTCAATTGCGAATAATAATTTTGTTACATTAGGGAAGACCCATTATAGACTTGTAATGAAAAGATTGGCAGTGTTAGCAACTGGCACAAGAGAGACTGTAAAGAGTAAGAACAATGGGGAAGAAAAACATGATGTTTCCTGAAGGTAGTGCAAAAGTGTTATCGAATCAGTGTTATCACCTTTCTCATCCCAATAACATAAGCACCTTGAGCCGATTGACCAGTCCTGATGGATTGAAACTTTGTGGATACAACAAAACTCATTCAATATTGTGTTGGAAAGTCACTGTCAAATTCTAATCAAAACCCAGGTGGGAAAACTGCATCAATTTCTAGACTTCAGGATAAACAAAACTGAGTGAGAAAACCAGTGTGTAATATCAAAAGTGTCAATTGACTCTTATTAGTCTCCACATGTTTGCAAAGCACCCTGGTATGATTCACCTGCACAGGAAGGATGTGTGAATAAACACAATGAAAGTACAGTGTGTGTACTTCTGACAAATACTGCTCCTTCATGGAAGCTTTTCAACATTGGCATCTGCTAACAATGGGAAACAATTTAAATGAAACCGAACCCGCCATTCACTATTTGGGACTGATCCATTGTAGATATGGAAACAGTGATCACAAGAAATATAATAATGTATAGTGCTAACCAGAAACACTTTCCATCAAAAATCATACTGTCACTGTACTACCACTTAGATTCAGTCCTTCTCTCCCTTCTTCTCAAAGTTATATTTTGATTTCAACTTATGCGGCTAAGCATAAGAGGATTTAACCAGCATGCATGTACGAGGTGCTTGTTTATACTGTTGAGATCGTTTTCTGTGCTTACATACATAGGATAAGGACGGATGCAATAATACAATGCACTAGATAAGAGATGAGTGTAACCACACAATACACAGGGTGAAGACTGAATGCTAAAATGCAACTTAGATCTGAAATCAAGTCAGCTTTAATTCAATAAACACTCCACGTTGAGATTCTGAGATAGATGTCACAGTGCTCAGTCAGTGTAGAGGAATAAATTAGCAATGTTGTCTGCAGTACGTGGAAATATTGTGATGCTCTAGACACCATATATATATAGTACATGCATGTGTACCTGTGCTGCTTTTGTCTGCCAACCTAACAGTGACATAAAGCAGTCTCGTGTGAATGATTTTGCCAAGCAGTAAACAGATGTCAGCTTCAAAGTAAAGTTGACATTTCAGGCATATAAATTAAATGATAACACTTGACTCTACTTATATCATCTTAATGGTGAAGCAGAAACTGCTGAACGATACATTCCCAAATTGGAAAGACAGCGCCTTGTGATTAATACAGTTGTTAATTGACTATGATCAGAAAGTTTGGTTTATCGAGTTCAGTAGGGAATCTTGGAAAACTGTAGGATTGGATATTTTAGGACCCTGGTGACTGAGGCTGTCTTCATAAAATTAAAGTAATCTCAGATACATTGGACTGTAGCCATTGAAACAAAATAACTGGTTCAGTGAGCTTGCTGTCACTATGAACAGAGTGCAATCCTGAAGTGATTTCATTTATTCTAATGAGAACTCTCATACTGTAAACAGTTAATGTGATAGGAGTAATAGACCAAAATTGGATTGAAGTTGAAGGCTGACTTCCTTCTGGCTTGTGGCATAGAATTTTAGCGTATTAAAAATGATAAAATCACAGTTTAGATTGTTGCCACAAAGATTGTCCGGAACAGTGATTTTAAAAGTGTAAACTCATGAGCGCTAAACTATCAGTATCTAGAATTAGTTACAGCATAATATAATGACAAATGAGCTAATAAAACATTCCAATACTTTACATATCAGGAAACAGTTAATTTTTCCTTTTCCAAACTTGCCACAAGAACCCAAAATAGAATAGTATTGACTACCCAAATAAATGAACATTAAGAAACATATTATTTGTCTTCATTTATTATCTTCTTAACATAGTTTTTAGTGGCACGCATACAAGTGAGGAGAGTTAAAAGGAGAGGAGAGTTTAGTCAGTAAAATGCTTTTCGTGAAACATTTTGAGATTGCAGTGTTTGGAAAAATAAATCTATACAATCTATTGTAGACATGTGGAATGGATCACACAGTGGGTTAGGTATACTGTTATTTCACTTCTGGGACCTAGATAAATCAGATAAGTCCTTCTTTGCCAGTTGTCAAAACCTCAAGTGAAGTTAGCTCAGGCATTCGCATTCCACTTGCTAGTTGCCATTAATCCATAGTACAAACCTGCCCATAATTTGGATCCACATTTGCAATGTCATTCATAAGATGCAGAGGTGACTGATGTGGAAAATGGTAAAGTTTCCTTTGGGGAGCAAAATAAGACATATGATCAGAATGCACCTGCAGTTGCCACCTTAACTACCAGAAGTGAGCACTTGACCTTTGCAAATGACTTTTTTTTCCACTCCGCACAGGCGGTAAACAGATGAAAAGAGAATCCACAGTAGCCAAACGGCGGAGCCCTAAATTCTTCACGTTGGCTATACATGTGCTTGTGAAACAATTCACAAAATTGCAAAGAGTGTCCCTTAGCACAAAACCCAAAATGCCCAATACTGGGGGTGATCGACGTGGTTGGAACATTATTGCTGCAAAGGTCAACAAAGTTTCCAAAGTGCCTCGAACAGCTGAGGACTGTCTGAAGCGCATCAATGACTTACGACATAGCGCTCGACAAAAAATTGTTCTTAACAAAAAAAGAGGCACAATCCAACATGCAGATGTGTCAAAAGGAAAAGTCCTAACATGGGCAGAAGAAAAAGTGGCCCCAGTATTCCAACACCCAGTAGAACACAGACCTGATGTCTCCTCTGACTTCAGTGATACCGGTGAGTGCTATATTTTATCAAACCCGTGCTCTGAATATTACGTTATCAGCTGCTAGCATGAAACATTGTATAATATGCATTGCAATGATTATGTATGCTTACTCTTCAAAGCATATATAAATATTCCTGGACCATAATCAGCTGCTTTTTGTAGAACTTCAGCACTGCCATCTTCCTCACGCATCTCTAGTAATTTTATTTATAAATACTCTAGTTTATGCAGAGTCCAACATCATTTCAGCAAAACTGTTTTCCTTCTATCTTCACAGATGAATGTCCCACTTTGAGACCCTTAAGATCAGAACAACAGCAAACAATTGTGATCTTAGAAGAGGATAAGGCATCTTTCCAACACAAGGAACCTGGTGTGACTGAGGAATGTGTGGCGATAGAAGAGTTTCCAAAAAACGCATATGAGTTGCAGACTCCAAAAGGTACAGGTGGGCACCAAAAAACAGTCTCTTATATGAAGACATCTACCTCAGGGCCCAGAGAGGTAATAGAGACACCTCAGCCAGAGTTCACAGATGATGTCCCTTCCTCTTCCACATCACAGCCTCAGAACAGACAGGAAGGAGAGCTCTGCCCTATATGCCGTAGACTAGATACAATTGTGGACACTGTACAACGTGGGTTCAACTTCATGCATAGGGATATAAACATGTTGCAAAATGTTTCGCAATATCGTGGAGCCCGGTTGTCCCAGAATGTCATGTCTCTAGTCAATGCGATGCATACACTTGTAAGGCTCCATCACTTCTCCTCCTTAACACGCAGGGATGTTGCCATTCAAACCTCCATAGAGTCCACTGAAAATCATCCTGAGGGTAATGTTGAGGCATCATCCAGTGGCATAGTGGTTGAAGTGACACAAGATCATGAGGGAGATTCTGCAGAGAGTATGTCCATTGAGGATACCTCCCACAACTCTTCAGATAGTGACTGGTGAAACTAGTAAATAGTTCTAAAAACATATAAACGTAGTTTTGTTATAATCCAACTTAATCCATGTGGTCTACTTCATAGGCTTTGTTGGTGGGTTAGATTTGAAATAGGGTATTTTGAATTTTGGTGTTGCAGTTTTATACAGTAGTATTTTAATACTTTCAAATAATGTTCCTACATTCAGCTATTTATTCTAAATATTCATGTGTGTTTTAATATTGCATTAAATGTTGTGTGGTGAATGTAATGTCATTTAACTTGTTTACAATCACCTAATTTTTACATTAACAATGGAAGTTAGCTGTGTTTTGAATAAATGATTTGTAATGATCATTTATTTGTCCTTTTGTCTCTTTCATGTCCACTGTGGCTTTTCTTTCCCATTGTGGCTTTTCTTTCCTATGTCGTCTGAAAGCTGAAAGCTGACAAGCTTAATTTGGTAGTCATCTTAAAAGAATTCTGAAATCACCTGGCTCACATAACCTTCATTTTTTTCAGTGCCTCTCACCTCATTTGTGTTTTGATGTAGCATTATAACATTGCATAAATACAGCAAAATTATTTCACATGTTCATAACTTTTCAGAAACATGGTTTGCAGCATCATAGGCTTTCCACACACTGTATAGTGGTATAAATAACATTATGATAGTTTATGCTATCAGCAATATATCCTAGTCGCTGGTTTACAGCAACAAATTGCATTTATATAGTGCCTTTCACATTGGGAGGATATCCCAAGGTACACGACTGTCAAAGGATTGCACCCGAGCAGGAGGTTGAAATCAAGAAATGTAGAGGGGCAAGGGGGGTGGGGGTTGGAAGATTACCGAAGGCACGGTCAAAGAGGAAGGTCTTGATATGGGCCTTGAAGGAGGCAAGGGTAGGGCAGGGACATGGAGCAGGCCAATGGCCACCGAGTGCAGGGAGCAGGTAGGTTGCTAACGTTTTAATAGGTCATAGTGGTAGGGAGGAGCAAGACCTTGGAGGGTCTTAAAAGTGTGGATGAGGATCTTAAACTTGATCTCTGGGGAATGGGGAGCTAGTGAAGCTGGGCGAGGCTGGAGGCTTACGGAGCTTGGTGTGCAAGAGGACACAAACTGCAGAGTTCTGAACAATCTGCAGTTTATGGAGGGAAGAGTTGAGAAATCTGGTGAGCATACTAACAGGCTTGAGTTAGCATAATTAAGCCTAGGTATAATGAAAGCATGGACGTGGATCTTGGCGGTTTGAGAGGAGAGGTAGTGGAAGCGGCGGGCAATGTTGCAGAGGTGGGGGAAGGCAGAATGAGTCATGCCATGTTCATGTGGGTTTTAAAGAACAGTTGAGGGTCAAACAAGTTCTGTACTGGCTCATTGAAGTGGAGTGTGCTTCCATGAATAGCGATGCTGTCAGCACCTGAGGTGAGGAGACACTCAAGGGAGCCAAGCAGGAGGGCCTCTGTATTGTCAACATTCAACTGGAAAAAGTTAGTCCTCATCCAGGACTTGATGTATGACAGACAGTCCATCAGGACAGCAGTGGTCCTGGAGTCGAGGGTGGACGCAGAGAGATAGAGTTCGGTGTCATCCACGTACATGTGGAAGTTAACCCCACGCCTGTGGTGGTATCACTGAATGGGAGCATGTAAATATCATAGAGGAGAGAACTAAGGACAGAGCCCAGAAAAACGCCGTATATGCAATGGCTGTAGGCGAAGCCGTTAGCAGATACAAAGTAGAGTCGGATGGAAATCTAAGAGTCAAACCAGGTTTATGGTCGGGTGTCTGATACATGAGGAAACCCATCACCATGCTCAAGAGTACCGAAACTTAGAATTGAATGCTTCCCACCTACACATGAAAATTTCAAACATAAATTGTTGGAATGGAATGCGCACTCTCTCCTTTGAGGGATGCATCCTGCTTATCTAATCCCAGAAAGTATTGGGCACAGGTTAACAAGAGCCAATACTTGGGGATCGCAGAGTGTGTGTTGTAGCACTGCTGGAGTCTAACCAGCTAAAAAATTGCTTGCATTGATAGCATTGACTGGCAAGTTGTCCTGCTGCTTGGCCAGCTAGGACCACGCTACCTGGTAGGGCTTTGGCTTGCATGGTTAACAGGAGCTGAGTGGGAGGATTTCCTGCTCCCAGTGACTGGTCTGCCCTTCCAAGTTCTGCCGATGAACCAGACTGCCTGTGCTGTCATCAGCAGTGCCCTGGAATACTGCAGACCAGTATGGCTCAGGAACTGGACTATCGAGACCAGTACAATGTAGTATCACATCAAGTTCTTTTGCAAACACTGACCATTCTCACATTAATGATAAGAAAACATTCACATTAAAACAAACTTTTAAACAAAAATATAATGAAAAATTATGAAAAGGTCTAAAAAAATGTATTTAATCCATTCTGCAACCTCTTCCACAATATTTCTAATATATGTAAATAATGTTTTTCACCAGTAATAAAAAAACAAAGTGTACAATTCATGCTATGTGAAACGCATTGTTTCCTTTGTCAGTGGCAGGTCTCCTGGTTCATAATGAAAGCCAGAACAAATCATTCAGTTCAAATGCTTTGGTGTTTTCACTGAAAGATTTAAAATTTTGAGTTTAATCACTTCAAAACTGAACACAATATATAAATGGAATGTAATTACACATGGTTGTTTAGGGTGGGTTTAATTCACAATGTATACTTTGTGGAATATGTTGGTAAATTCACCTTGTTGACAAGCTTACACCTGGAATGCACCATGTTTGCTTCCTGTTCCATGTTTAGTTAACTGATCTGAATTGTGACAACGGTGGGATCGCACTATCGTTAGTCTCAGAATTCCTGTTTTAGGGGGAATAAAACAAGCCAAAGCTCGCACTTTTTAATGATTAACATCTAGTAACTGGAAAGTTTTTCTGCAAAGTAGATATATATGGATACCTGGCTTGGTTATAAGTCCTCCCCTATCAATCCAGCAGTAACTTAACACAACTGCACTCTTTGTCTGGGCTCATGTATAATGAATGGCACTTGGGTGAGACACCTGAATATTTGACCAATGGGCTCCAACATGAGTTTCTGTCTTCAGGAGAGAAGGGCAGTAAAATTGAGGGATAAAAAAAACATGAAATAGTAAAAATAACAAAAAAGAGTAGACCACAAATTGCAAGTTGTTCAGAGTTTTGTTGGTTTTCCGAAAATTCGATCTTTCAACAGCTGAAAATATCACAAAAGTGGGTATGGAGAAACCTCATTTGGCTTCCCTAGATCAGAGGTGCAATATGCCCAAGAAGCATTGATGATATTGTTTCCTTTGCGAAGTAACATCAGCAGCACTTCCGATGCACTTAATTGCAAAGGAACATAGAATGCCAGAGTGACATTAGCAGTGACCTGGCAAACTGGAAACGGTCATTATTAGTGAGGTAAGACGGCTAGTCAGGTGTATGCATTCAGTTCGTACAGAAACAAAGGATACGAGTGCTGTAAGTGAAGCAGTGCTATTCCGGGTGCCAGTAAGTGTTTGTTTAATAAATTTTATATCAACAAAAAGCCCTTGAATTAGATTCAGCACCATATTTAATATCCAAGATGGAATCATCTACAAGGTCCACAGTGACCTTTGAAACAGCAGGTCTGCTGTACCCGTAGAGGCTCTGAACACAAGAATTGTAAAGAAGACTGTGAAATGTTAGTGGTGACGTGGATATAAAGAAGGCTGAGTACCTGGAAATAGTTGCAAAGGAACATGTACAACAGATTTTGCAGTTCCTTTTTCTGTTTTATTGATTTGAAATTACGTTTGATAGTAACTGTTCAAAGATGATGTAGCCACGCAATACAGACTCTAAATGCTTTATTTATTAAATGAAAAGTATGGTTTAGTAAAATTGGAAGGCACTCTTAATGGGCAGAATGTTGCTCAGAGAGCATTTTGTTTCCACAGCAACTCTCAATCCCTCACAATTGCTGCAGTGGAAAAGGCATTGTGAAGACAGTATATTTCAATGTACTATTATTATTCATTTATATTCTAAGTGGTCATTTACATTTGGATTAAAATCTATTAGCAGTGACAATATTATAGGATACCATTCATTTGATCATTTATCTTGAAACCAGAACCATCTTTGTTCCTATAATGATTACTTTGTTATTAATACTTTGTTTTCACCTTATGATAATTAACACATTTATCTGTAACTAGCTGCACCCGTTGCAGCTACATTTGCAGCCAAAGGATCCAATATGGAATGTAGATTGACACACAAACAAACATTTCATCTTTATCTATACTCATCTGGGAGGACTCCTGTGGGAGGACTCGGTGCTTTAAAAATGTAATTTTGTTGTTGTTGCCTCGGTTTAGCTTCGTCTGTGTTCTTTATTTTGTTCCCACCACTTGGATATGTGCGTGCTCTGTGATGCAGGATGCCACAGTGCCAAGGTCAGCCGATGGGGCCACAAGGTGTAACTGCAGTGTGTGCGTACATACGTAGGTGCTCTGTGACACACGATGCCACAGTGCCATTTTGACTGGGCAGCCACAAGGTGTAACTGCTGTGAAAAATGCAAAACTGAAAATAACGATAGGAAATAGCTGAAAACAAATATGCCCATGTCACTCCCAGTACCAAGACCTTTCCGATGAGGTATAAATAATGTCTCTACGTCAATCGATTATTGAGATCCTTTTTGAAGTGCAGACAGACATTGTTGTTTTATTAATATAAAAGATAGAAGATGATCCTCAAGCTATTTAAAAGAAGAATGATAAATTATTTTAGGTTTTACATCAAGGGGTGCATGTATATTTATGCAACTGTGACTGGTGTCAGCCCGACACAATTGTTATCACTTTTGCCTCTGGATCAGAAAGTTGTAAGTTCAGTTACTGTGTTGGGGTCCTTGATGACCCCATGGTCTAGGCCTAGGCCACCAGTGGTCAATCGATGGCCCACGGGCTAGAAGTGACCCGCCGAACATTCGCATTAGTCTAGGTAAATTAAATGAATATTTTGTTTCCAGTAGCTACTGAGTAGCGATATTTACGGTGTGGCCATAAATCAAGAAATAGTTAATGAAGAAAAATGTATTTTGTCAGCCGACCAAAAAGATTGGCAACCCTTGTCTAAGCTGACAATCCAATGCAATCCTGCAGGTAGGC